GTGCAGTCAGAATACTCTAAGGAACTACAAATCTTGCCTCCAAATATGACTGTTCAAATCCTTGTAGTTTTCGAGATAGACTTTTTTTGTGATTTTTTCAAAAATTTTTCAGAAAATTTAGATTATTATTTTTTCGCAAAATCTGATATTCCCAACCCTGTAGTTGGGTCCTGTCAGAGTATTCTCAAAGATTGCGAATCTTGCCTCCAAATATGACTGCTCAATTCTTTGTAGTTTTCGAGATATGATGTTTTTTGTGATTTTTTCAAAATTTTTCAGAAAATTTCAGAAAGTTTAAATTAATTGTTTTTCAAAATTTGAAATTTCCAACGCTATAGTTCGGTTTTGTCAGGGCACTGTAAAGAGTTGCAAATCTTGCCACATGCGACTGCTCAATGCTTTTATTTTCCGCGATGTGACGTTTTTTGATTTTTTCAAAATTTTTTTCAGAAATTTGAAATAAAATAATTTACAAAACTTGAAGTTACCAACCCTGTAGTTGGGTGCAGTCAGAATACTCTAAGGAACTACAAATCTTGCCTCCAAATATGACTGTTCAAATCCTTGTAGTTTTCGAGATAGACTTTTTTTGTGATTTTTTCAAAAATTTTTCAGAAAATTTAGATTATTATTTTTTCGCAAAATCTGATATTCCCAACCCTGTAGTTGGGTCCTGTCAGAGTATTCTCAAAGATTGCGAATCTTGCCTCCAAATATGACTGCTCAATTCTTTGTAGTTTTCGAGATATGATGTTTTTTGTGATTTTTTCAAAATTTTTCAGAAAATTTCAGAAAGTTTAAATTAATTGTTTTTCAAAATTTGAAATTTCCAACGCTATAGTTCGGTTTTGTCAGGGCACTGTAAAGAGTTGCAAATCTTGCCACATGCGACTGCTCAATGCTTTTATTTTCCGCGATGTGACGTCTTTTGATTTTTTCAAAATTTTTTTCAGAAATTTGAAATAAAATAATTTACAAAACTTGAAGTTACCAACCCTGTAGTTGGGTGCAGTCAGAATACTCTAAGGAACTACAAATCTTGCCTCCAAATATGACTGTTCAAATCCTTGTAGTTTTCGAGATAGACTTTTTTTGTGATTTTTTCAAAAATTTTTCAGAAAATTTAGATTATTATTTTTTCGCAAAATCTGATATTCCCAACCCTGTAGTTGGGTCCTGTCAGAGTATTCTCAAAGATTGCGAATCTTGCCTCCAAATATGACTGCTCAATTCTTTGTAGTTTTCGAGATATGATGTTTTTTGTGATTTTTTCAAAAATTTTCAGAAAATTTTAATTTATTATTTCTCAAAATTTGAAATTCCCAATCTTGTAGTTGGGTGCTGTCGGAATACCCTAAGGAGTTACAAATCTTGCCTCCAAATATGACTGTTTAAATCTTTGTAGTTTTCGAGATGTGACGTTTTTTTGTGATTTTTCAAAAAAAAAATCAGAAACCAATTTTAATTTTTTTTCGTAAAGTTCGAAACCCTGTAGTTGGGTCCTGTCAGAGTAATCTCAAAGATTGCGAATCTTGCCTCCAAATTTGATTGCTCAGTTCTTTGTAGTTTTCGAGATATGACGTTTTTTTGTGATTTTTTCAAAAACTTTCAGAAAACTTAAATTATTATTAGTTTTTAAAAATCTGAAATTCCCAAACCTGTAGTTAGGTCATTTCAGAGTACTCTCAAAGATTTCGAATCTTGCCTCCAAGTACGACTGCTCAGTTCTTTGTAGTTTTCGAGATATGACGTTTTTTGTGATTTTTTCAAAAGTTTGCAGAAAACTTCAGAAAGTTAAAATTATTTGTTTTTCAAAATTTGAAATTTCCAAGGCTATAGTTCGGTTTTGTCAGGGTACTCTAAAGAGTTACAAATCTTGCCTCCAAATATGACTGTTTAAATCTTTGTAGTTTTCGAGATGTGACGTTTTTTTGTGATTTTTCAAAAAAAAATTCAGTAACCAATATTAATTTTTTCGTAAAATCTGAAACCATGTAGTTGGGTCCTGTCAGAGTAATCTCAAAGATTGCGAATCTTGCCTCCAAATTTGATTGCTCAGTTCTTTGTAGTTTTCGAGATATGACGTTTTTTTGTGATTTTTTCAAAAATTTTCAGAAAACTTAAATTATTATTAGTTTTTAAAAATCTGAAATTCCCAACCCTGTAGTTAGTTCTTTTCAGAGTACTCTCAAAGATTTCGAATCTTGCCTCCAAGTATGACTGCTCAGTTCTTTGTAGTTTTCGAGATATGACGATTTTTGTGATTTTTTCAAAATTTTTCAGAAAATTTCAGAAAGTTTAAATTAATTGTTTTTCAAAATTTGAAATTTCCAACGCTATAGTTCGGTTTTGTCAGGGCACTGTAAAGAGTTGCAAATCTTGCCACATGCGACTGCTAAACGCGACTGCTCAATGCTTTTAGTTTCCGCGATGTGACGTATTTTGATTTTTTCAAAATTTCTCGAAGAACTTATCTACAAAGAAATTCAAAAATTTGAAAATACTAACTTGATGAAGATACAACCTTTATTGTCAGCGTACACCCAGGCGTCTCTAATCTTGCCTCTTAATATGAATGCTCAAGTCTTTTTAGTTTTCGAGACTTAGGTTTAAAAAAAAATTCACAAAATTTTGGATTCCTAACCCTATAGTAGGGTGCTCTCAGGGACTCTCAGTGGTTGCAAATCTGGCCTCCAAATTTCTCCAGGGGCCATTAAGTTTTTGAGATGACGCTTTAAAAATGGGAATTAAAAAATTTTAAAAGTTCGAAATTACCAACCCTGTAATTCGGTGCAGTCAGAGTACACTAAAAGTTTGCAGATGTTGTTTCCAATATATGCCGTTTTTTCATGAGCTGTCGAAAAATTTCGAAGCACCGAAGGTGCGTTAAGCGCTAGTATCTTTTATATCCTTTGAAAACAAGGATAGCTGGTTGCTGTGCACTTAGCACAAATATTTCGACCAAAAAAAATCTAAAATGACAATAAACTGTAACATAAAATTTTCTCAAATTGGGTTAATTTAATCAAAAAAGCGTCAATCTTAATTTTTTTTTAGAAATTCAAAGCTTTAAGGACATCTATTTTGTTCTAAAATTTGAGATTTTTTACAAGTTGAGTTTTTTATAAATGAATCCTATTTTTTTTCTGTTTACTTACGTAGTTTTCGATTTAGCGATTTTCATCTAATTTTTTACTAGCTTGCAATGCTACGTTTGCGTTGCATTGCAAGTGATGCAAAGTTTCGCTTTGCCTCTTTGTTAATTTAAATGAATGTTTTAGTTTTATGAAAAATGATTTCTAACAAATTTTCGTTTAAGAGGAAATATTATAAATTTTTGAAATATCTTTCATATCCTTTGAAAACAAGGATAGCCGGTTACTGTGCATTTAGCACAAATATTTAGACCAAAAAAATCTAAAATGATAATTTGCAAAATTGAAATTTTCTATTGTTTTTCTAGAAACGACAAATGAATTAGGACTAATATGCTAGATAAATCTTATGCTTTAATTACATTGAGGTTACAATTGGTGACCCTCTTATCAAGTTTTGCCTACGCTAGTCTGAAAATCGAAAATATTTAGACCTGTTTTTCTTGACACAGATATTATTCAAGTTTTTTTTAGAATCCGAATCGCGATCAAAAGGGCTTTATTATGACGCCTCTTTTGACCCCTACGAGTTTTCTTTGAGGTAGTTCGAATTGGCCGCATTTAAAGTTCGTTTCCACTCTTTGAGTGGTGAGATCAAAAAAGAAATTTTAAAGCTCGAAAAATCATTAATTTTTAATTTACGATCCATTTTCAGCTTCATGTAAAGTTTATTGAAACAAATAAAGTTGAAATTGTGTAAATACTTATAAGTACGGGCTTTAATTTGTTCAGTGTATAATTTTTGCTAAAAATCTGAATCTAAAAGTTTTGATTGGCATTTTTTGCTGTTTTCATTGTTTCTGCTAAATTTTGGAACTCTGTTCAGGTTACCGATTTAAGTCTGAAAGTATGCAAATATCAAATTATTTTGATATATGGATGTTTTTAAACTGTATAGAAATTAATTAGTCCATGAAACTGATCACTCAGTTTTTTCGTTTTCTTGCTTCTATCTTATGGGTGCCTGTTTTATAAACTACATACGGTTTAGACTCAATTGTGAAAAATTGAGACTTCCAGTGTTCGACACCGAAATTTCTAGAATTTTTGTTATTCCTAGAACTTTATGAAATTTGCGCCTTAAAATGATTGTTGTTACGAGCTTTTGAGAAGTTGACAAAAAAGTTGACAGTTTATAGATAAGGGTTCAAGTTAAGACTGAACATGTGCGACTCTCGAAAAATTGATGTTTTTACGAAATTCATAAATCATAAAAGTAACCCCAAATACTTTGGGTTGGCTTTTTTCGCATAAATGAAATCCAATCGTCCAGTTTTTTTTGTAACATTAATTGTCGAGAAGCTGCTTGAAGTGAATCAAAAACAATATTTATCTTCTCTTGCTCTTAATTAGTTGCTTGCTTAATCTTGAATGTGAAAAACTTATGAATTTTTTTAACAGTTATTCGAAATCTTAAAATTTGTTTAGTTTATTTGAGTATAAAGCTTTTATATTTGATTCTTTTATTTGATAAATAAGATTCAAAATAAAATTTCATAATGTTCTCACATTTTCTAAAGTTTTTCAAAGAATTTTTTAACGAAGAATTATTAAGTGCAAATAGGCAAAATTTTTGATTGATTTTGATCGTATTTAATTATGATAATACTATTCAAGCGGGGCGTTTTGTAACATTACAAAATCACTGTTTCGCATTTTAAGCTCAATTCTCAGCATTTTTGGTTTCAATCAACTTACGTTTCTTTTCACTACCAGCTGGAACTTCTTGATGTATGTTTACTGTTTTATGCATTTTGCATGTGCAGTGAAGCGTTGCTTGTGTCTATATCGACAGTTTAGATTGAATCATGTTTCAAAGACTATTTGTTTGCTTGTTTCATATTTTAGACTTATGTTGTTTTTTGTGGTGTCCCGGTGGGCCACTGTGACAGCGAAAGCCTTCGCTCGGGGCTGTGGACGCATGAATGACTACGCATTCCAGATAGTCGCTGATTACAGGCAAGACTAAGCTATTAAAATATATTGTCCAATGTTTACAGACTCCTCTTAAAAACCTTTAAAAGATACCTGTTTCCGTGCGACATCCGAATAATCTGGGAAAAAAAAGCTTCAGTCGTAGTTTTTGTTCACAGATTTTGAAATCGAAATTACCTGCTCTTCGGAAACTCAGATATAGCGCGATTAATTTTACTTTATATGTATTTTTTTTTCAAAATTAGGCCATTTGAAAATATAGGCGAGGCGATCATATGTTTACTAGAGTATAAAATGAAAAAACTTGTACAAAATGGTTTAATTAGTGCAAAATGATTTAATAAGTTAGCGTGAGAGGAACAAGTGGGGGGTCCAGCTCATTTGAGCCGGTAATCGAGTTGTCTCAGTTTTTTGAGACTTCCTTCCTTTAGTCAACTGCCTGGTCCATTTGACTAGAGGTATTACCGTGAACTCAATGAAGTAAAAAAGCGTTAGATTGATTGTAACAAGTCAATTCATGAATCAAGCATTTATTACCAATAATATATGAATCTAATACTAAATTGCAGGAGGCTTTTTTGGTATAATTGGAGTTAAAGAAGGAGGATAATTAAGCTCCAGTTGAATAAAATTGTAGCAACACAATGTGAAGCAGAGTATTATTTAAGCTTGCTTCTCCTTGCTGGTCAAACACAAGCCTTTTTTGCTGATGGGCTTGCTGAATAAAAGTTAACATTTACGCGTCGCATCTTCTTTCACAATTTTTCTAAAAACTCTTTAACATCCAACTCACAAACCGTTGCTATTTTTTTGACAATTTCATCCGATATTGAATTACGATAGTTTTTGAGAGAAATAATGCGAAAAAAATGCGTTTTTGTAAAAAAAAAAGTGTATTTTTTTCGGATTGTTCTAAGGTCTCATAATTCTTATGTTTGTTGTTTTTTCTAACTTTTTTAAATTCAATTTAACACTCCAAACGCAGAATAAAGAAAAATGTATCTGGGCATTCCACTCAAGTTGATTTGGAGCATAATTTCATTTAAAATTGCGTGACAATAACTTCTAACATTTGATTTTTTTTTATATAGTTTGACAGCATTTAACAATCTCCATAGAGCCGTTTTTAAATTTTTGAAAGTTTGTTCAATTCATCAATGGTATCTATTATGTTATTATCTGGACGCAGTGAAAACTTGGAAAGGATCTAAGCTAACAAATATCTTACTCTAGGGCGGTTCTCGTATCTTCTCTAGTCAGCTGTCGTGCTGCACCTCTCAGACCTTCCATCTACTCGGCGACTGGCCTGGCTCTCGTGATGTTGTACAAAACAAATCCGTCCTATGACTCATTTGTGACTCAGCTGCGTGCAGCCGCTTGTGACTTGAGCCAAGTGCCGGAGTCGGTCAGAAATCGCAGGCAGTGATGTTCATTGAAATTGTTGTTTTTTAAGTATTTAATCCTACGAGATCGTTTTTCTTTTCGTAAGTCATAAAATTTCGGTGTTGAAGTCGTTTTCTCAGATCCACATCAAATTGGGTATAGTTAATATGCTTTTACCGAATACTTTTATGCGGTACTCTCATGTAACTTATTCTTCGTCGCATTGTTGCTAAAAGTTTTTAAAAATGCCAGCTTTAAATATCATCCAATTTAAACAGAATCTAGATATCTTAAATCAAACATAATCGATTTACGGAAATTTTTTTATCACTACCTTTAAATTAATTTTTATAATTCTCTACCATTAAATTGTGAACATCACTGTTGGCCAAAGGAGTGAAGAACACGTGAATACTTTGAGCGGGGACGAGAGAGTACACAAATTGCGTCGCCTATCGCTTCTGTTTTTCTCAATTCTGTGGAGGGACAACTACCCTTCTGAACTGCAGAAGTTCTCTGCTAACTGCAAGTACCTCAAAGTCGGCTGGACAGACTTGATCAGGTCTGTAGAGGGTTCATTAGCAATGTGTCGCAGTTTTGACTGTTCTGTTCATTACCTTTTTGTTCGGTTATAATTAATTGTTTTTATCGTTCACAGAGTGACCAGTTACACACTCTGAGGTTAGAATTCAAAAACAAAAGGCTATATCATTAATCGCAACAGTGCTAAATTGAGTTTTTGTCGAAAGATGCAGGGGGTAGTATTGGCCTCCGATTTCATTTTAAATAAAAAATGTTGAATATTTTAAAAACAGCCGTTTATTGGCGAATGTCTATCTTTTAAATATTAAATGACCAAAAAACGAAGCTCATTTTTAGTTATAAAACAGTCGAGTAGTGAGTGGTAAATGTGATTTCATTTGCAGGGATAGAGATAGTCGGTTGGTTGATTTCGGAGTTGGAGGCATATGGCTGATGCTGCAACGCAACATGCAAGACTACGACATCAACGAACTGGAGTGGCAGGAAAGAGAGCCAAGAAATATTGAATACTCAAGTGAAAACAAAACAGGCATCGATATGATTTAATTTTGAAGTATATGACTTAAAAATTGAGGTATGAATCAGCTGTCATTTGAACCAGCTCAAAAATCAGGGCGTGAATGGTATAACTATGTACCTTTAGCCTGGTTTTGTACTCCGCTCATACTACGGTTTGTTCATACTTCGGCTGATTTTTTCCGATTTTGATTGTGTAATTTTATTGTTGTGCATACTGATTTTTGAAGGGTTGCTCCCGAATTAACAACTAGACGTTGAGATGAAAAGATAAAATTTCGAAATAATCAGAAAATTTTGCTAGCGTTAGTGTATTAGTACCTACCTTCTTTTTTTCTTACCTAACTCGCAAATAAAAGTGTTCACTATTTGGTGGCAAAACGAAATTCATAGCATCTGTTCTCTGCTTTGTTTTTGGCTAGTGTTTATGACCTTTTAAGCTTCCGCGGCGCAGTAGTTAGTGAGTGAGACTCATAATTTCTTGGCCCCGATCGGTCCGAGATCGAATAGGATACGTAATACGATAATGAGCCGAATGCTTACTTATTCGAGGATTAGTTCTACTTTTTCTTATTGCACTTTATTGAGCTGCTTTTTGTCGGGACCTCGCTAGTGTTTGTGAAGGACAACTGTTAGTTTAGTTCACAAACAAATTGAATTAATGCAGAGGTACTACCCCTGTGTTTGATATTTCATAAAGTTTCGGCCGATGGTTGCTGATTTTGATAGTCTAACGAGTATTAATGATTGATATGTCACTAAAAATCCAATTCAACAATTTTGAAGAAAATCATCAGCATGGAAAATTTCACATATTGGCACAGCAAGTCTTTTAAAATTCTAACAAAAAAACGAATGAATTTTCTGAAAATAATCAAAAGAAACTGTAAGTTATAAACTGATCTTTTTGAGCTTTGCATTTCCCTCCAGCAAGTTTTATTGATTAGTAAAATGTGTCAAAAGAAGCTCCAAGATTCAATAATAATCAGAAACTGAAAAAACAGTGTTTGATATTTTTAATGTTATACTCGAATGGTTACTGAGTTAACATGAAAATGTTGCCCATGCTGAGAAACAAGCTTTGAAATCCAATTTGTGACATCTATTTGTTTCTTTCGTTGAAATATCCAATTGTTAAAAGCAGCGTGTTAAATTTTCTCATGTTCCCTCAGCAAAATTTAAACAAGACTACTTGTATCAGGGTGACGCCCTGAACGTTCCGACTGACTTTTGAGGTCTATGGGGCAGTAATAACATGAAAAAATCAATTGTAACAAAAAATTGATTTTTTTTTAATATGAGATTTTTGTGAAAATCAACCCCCCCACTCGCCATATAAAAAACGAAGTGATAGATTTAGCTACTATTAACAAATCAATTTCGGCAAATAGCCTGCTTCAACTAATTTGGAAGGATTTCTAAGACGGATTAATTCTCCGCTTACGGGTTAATAACGCAAATTGTATCGTGCGTTAATTGACGCAAATTGGCCGAAACGGCAATCTTTAAACCCCGATAACTTTACGAAAAATGATCACAGGTAAAATATTTTTTCAAATTTAAGCTCAGCACAACAATACTTTCTTTTGAATGAATTTTAAAAAATTCCGTCAAAAATGGCAAGTTGAAAAGTCGAAATTTGTCTGAAGAAAAAAACCACCCCCAGCACAACTATTCCGTTACTTTCGTTACGAAGGTCGGAACACAAATGTCAAATCCAAATCAGTAGCTTAGCATTAGCTCGAAAAGCTTATACAAAACGCAGAGGGACCCAAAAGCAATCAATTTTCTGATAATTTTTGCGAAACACGTTCATTTCTTGATCTCAAATTTTTTCAGATTGGCGAATTCTTTCGCACTTGCAATCATTACAAACTTTTTAATGCAAACTACTTGGTTGGTCCCTCTAATTAATTACAAAACTAAAAGGGAGAAACTTGGTCTCAGTAGTACTTGAGTCAGAAAGATAGTTTCATGGATTCGATTTTTGAAATCACATCAAAATGGCCATTGATTGTTTATCTACTCAAATTTTGCCTTAAAAATCGAATTCTCGAATCGAAGCAAAGCCCATGATGTTTCATCTGTCCTTTAATTTATCTGGATTTTTTAGAAAAGTAAATCTATAAATGTTAAGTTTGGAAGTTTCGTTTTCCCCCTACAGCCGATAACATTTCCTCAGCCTAAGTGTTATACCTTGATAGAGTTTGGGTTTGAATGCGTAAGACTTTGCCGTGCTCAATTTTCTGTTTGATCGGAGAAGGTATTGTGAAAATTCGGTTTTTTGTAACTTTGTTGAGACGCTTTGGAAAATGTTATCGCAAAAATTTAAGATCTCAAAAAATACTACTTAACCAATAAATACACTACCCAGAGCAAGTGTCTTTTAACAAAAAAATGCTAACAATGAAATGACACCTCACCACCTGTCTGCCTGGGTAATGCTCTAGTCTTTTCTACCTCACCCCATTTTCCACAGCTTTCGAAAGATTCTGTGCGGAAAGTTTTTGAGCCATATTTGGGTTTTTTCGTTTTCTTGAAATAATTTTTTCTAATTTGAGATTTTGGGTTTAATAAAAAAAATAGGTTTTGGAAAACTTCCTAGAATAAGCGCGTAGGCCCAAATTCATTCCTTTGAAAAGCTATGGGCCTAGGAAAAGATGAATTTTTTTTGAATTGTTGACCGTTTTTTAAAGCTGGCTCTCGATAACTAACCTGTCAAAACTGATTTCTAGGGTTTAGTCAAAAGAACAGGTTTCAAAAAGCCTACTTGTATTAGCGGCTATGCCCATTTTTTGAAGAACAAAGTTATGACCTTCAAAAGTCTGCGGACAAATGTCATGTCATTTGGAAAATTCCAATTTCTTTTTTATAAGAATTACCCTTTTTATTTATCAAATTGCTTCGTTACATTTCTCAAAAGTCGGATTATTAATGCTGTTACATTAAGTTTAGATTTAACGGAAAAGTAGCAATCTTTGGATGAAGCTCAAATTTGAAAATAGGAATTTAGACAAAGTAGAACTGAATTTCTTAGAAAAAGAAATTAAGTTAAGTTTCAACAAAATCAGAAATACTTATCAAAACTTAAAAAAATAAGAGTATATCAGCGCAATTCATTAAGAGTCAGCAGCGTATTGATGAGGTTATGTGTTAGAGTTAAACAAGTTATATTGATTGACATAAAAAAAGGGCGACCTTATTGTTAGCATTTTTGTCAAAGCCCTCCCCTATTTAAATAGGGGCTATTCTCATAGGCGGTGGCGTCCCTCATGCTGGAGGGACCGAATGCTTGAAATTTGTTTGGGACTATTTTCAGCCAGTCGGAATTTAGCATTCTAAAATCCCAGGAAAATTGCAAAAATCTCAAAGTAAGCAACTAAATCCAGGCCATTATTGTTAAATATTGACCGATTAGATATTAAGCAGATGAATGAAAATAATGCCGAGTCGAAGGCGGATCAGAACAAAATTAATATTTCAAAGGTACCGATTTAGGAAAATTGGAACAACTAATTTTGGATCAACCGTACAATTTCCCCCCGAATTGATTTAGGGGGAGAAAGTATGGATTTTTCAGGAAATAATTTTGAGTATACCCCATATTTATAGAAAAGTAAGTTTATTCAGAGAAAATTGATTGAAAATACCTTAGCTTAGGTTATTAAAAGCATTCAAATGTAATCCCACATAAAAATTGTGACAACCAATTTTATGTGCGAGTTTGTTCGAAATGCATACATTAAACAGAATTATTTTTCAAATTTAATACATGGCTAGGGGGCAAATTCTACGGTTGGTTACTTAGGGAGGGAGATTGTACGGTTGATCCCTAAATTTATTATATCTGCAACTATTATATCTGCACCTATTATATTATCATTTTCTGTTAATATTGACTTCGATTTTGTCAGAAAGGAATTTAGCCAATAAGAAAGCGTAGAGATTTTGATTGGTTGAAATTTTTCCAGCATTCGGTCCCTCCAGCATGAGAACCCTCCCCCCTCATGGACGAAGGTCCGATTGGGCGCAAGACCGAAAACAAAAACAGTCGAAAATCAATTATTAAAATGAATAAATTGCCGTTCAACTAAAATAAATTAAATGAAGCAATATTTTGCTTCGTTTATAACGAAATCCTTGAAATAAAAAATTTGTTAGAAGTAGCTGGCGGTCAGTGTCAAATGAGCAAATTTCTGCGGTTTTGTATGTTCGGCCAATACTCGTATTAAGTCCCCGGATGTGTATTTTCTTTAAGTATTTTCCGTCTTTTTTCCAAATTTCGGAACACTGAATTATGATTTGCTGAATTTTGTTTCGTCCATTCAGTCTTTTGCCTATGAGGGATTCCACCATATAAACACAGTGAAATAGTGAAATTTTGATTTTTAGATTTTTACAGATTTAGATCCGCCACTTATTACACTAAAAAAGAGTTGGATTTTCAATAATAATGTAAGCTTCTCTCCGAGTCCTTATACTCCTTTTTGACGACCAATTTGATAATTCCAACTCTGCCTGAAAGTTCTTTAATGCAGTTTTAAATTTTGATTAATGTTTTAATTTTGCTATCCATGATTTTGCTGATATTTGTCTTAAAAATTACGATTTTTGTTTCGTATAGTTTCACAATTTTTTATCATTGTCTATTTAACTTCGTTTATTTAACCCACCCCTATAATGCTTTGATTGCGTTCTATTCAAAGTTTGGTTTTTAAGTTTTAATTTTAAGTTTTCCGATTTGTTGAAATTTCAGTTTTCTGTATTCATTAGGTTTAAAGATTTCAGCTTTTTAAATATTGGTTTTATACTGCATTTTTGATGAGCAAATAAGGTGTCTTGTGCCAATATTGAGAGACAGCTATGAGTTGTTTTACTCATTCGGTGTCTGCTTAGGTATTGTCGGCTTTGTTACTGCCTGATAAATTTATGTTAGATGTCAATTTCACAATCAATCGTTTTACCAGTTCTAATTTGAAATTGATTAATATTCAAAACAAATCGAGATAAACACAAAGTTTGGAAATATCTTTCTCTGCCGACTATTGAAGTCCACTCAGATTATCAATCGAACACCAAATTGAATTTTTTAAGACATCTTAATTGAACATGGGTCAGTTTGTTTTCAAATTTTATTTGAAAAATTTATAATGCAGGATTGCGCAAGCAGTTCTATTGGGTGTAACCGTTGGAATCGAACCAACAAT